ACTAAAATAAAACAAATGGTAAATTAGTAAATTGTGTTGATTATTCAATTTACTTTAATTAGTTTAATATTCCAATTTACTTTAATTAGTTTAATATTCCAATTTACTTTAATTAATTTAATTATTTTACTATATGTATATACACACACACACACACACAGACACACATGGACCAAATCTGGCGGTGTAACACCCCCAAATCCATATATTGCACATAACACATATTGCATATATAAAATACATGTTTTCCTCACATAGGACCATAATATAAGAGACTTATATTATAGAATATACTACTCAAAAAATTCCAAAAGTACATGCTTTTGTATTTTGACATCTATACTTCAAAACATGGCTAATAAAGATCTTCAAACAGCTAAGCACATAGGGATAATTCACAGAATGCTCTTTCCCTTATTATCATTACCTGTACGCATATTTTTTAAACACAAAATGAGGGTTAGACATGAATGTCTAGTGAGATTCCCTTTTTATGTAATGCAGGGTGTAAATCACCAAAACATTTATTTGAAATAATACCATCAAAGTCAGAAGATAAAATCACATTCTGTTTAAGTCCATCGGGCCTCTTGTTCCAAATACCATACTTAGAAATATTTTGTTAATCATGACCAGAGCCTCTCTGGTTCCTCTACCAGAGCCTCTGACTCCTCGACCAGAGCATCTCGCTTAAGTAATTTCTCATAATATTCCTTGACTTCGCTTTGTAAATAATGAAACAACTTTTCCATAACTAAAAATAATTAAAAGAGTTAATGTTCGACGAGAGCCTCTGGTTGTACTAACCAAAGCTTCTGGTTCAAAAGACATGACCAACCAGAGCCTCTGGTTCAACGTGTAAGCCAACCAGAGCTCCTCTGGTCTGTCTTTTGTAAGAAAATCTTCTAAGTATAAATCCTTTTTCTTGAAAACTTCTTAGAATACGATTTTGACACAGAAGCTCTTATCAATAGATACAGAGCCCTCTGGTCCAACTAGTTCATTTAGTATGAACTTGCACATTTTTCAAATCAATAACCATAATCTTTTGGTTCTATAGTGAGGACCAACCATAGCTCCTCTGGTCCCTCATAAAAATGGACATTCTGTTCCAAAACACTTTTAACCAAATTTAATGACCATAGGCCATATATTTTTTCCGTAACCATAACTTCAATACTATTATTTCCAATAAGAACAACATTTCCGAATCCTCAAATCACCAAGAAGTGAGAACTCCAATTTGTTGTAATCTTAAAAGATATAATAGCAAAGTTATACCATGCACACACAACGACCATCTTTATTACATCCAAAATTCCTTTTAATAGCAATAACTATATCCATCACACACAACGACCATCCTTATTTCCCCTGAAAATCTTATGAACTATTTCATCCAATGAGAGGCTGCAGTCTTTTCTGTCAGAGTGAACCTCGTTCATAGTTTTAACCAATTATGATCTCAAAACAGGTTTATACTCAAACCTTTCAAACCACAAGAACAATCTGTTCTATATATGATTTCTCAAATCATCTGATCCTCCTTAAATCCTCAAAACAGAGTATTGTTCTCAAAACTGTTTTTAAAGAACAGTTTCTGCTTTAATCTCTCCAAAACAGATTCCAGCTTCAGAATCATAAATCATTTCTTTTAAGATTGTTTAGAAACAGTTTTACCAAGTTCTTTTTAAGTTTCAAACCATCATTAACCAACAGTTTATAAAAATCAAAATAGTAGATTAAACTCACAGATTGTATATAAACAGTAATTCAAAACTCACCTTAAAATTATATATTCTGCAGGTAGTAATATACAGCAATTTCACAAGTTCTTCATGAACACTTTTCACCGCCACAAAACTCTTTTCTCTCTCTCTCAACAGGTTTGTTAGCTCTCATTTCATTTAATGTAAAAGTATGGAAAAAGTAAATACTGCAAGTGTTGACAGAAGAGGTTCCACCACAGAAGACCACAGAGGACCAACAACAGAAGATGTTCAATCATACAAGTGAAGTGTGACAGAACCTCTGTCGTCCATCACAGAGGTTCTGGAAACTGGTCCTCTGTAATCAAAGCKTACAAGTCAAAGATGACAGAACCTCTGTTGTCTATCACAGAGGTTCTGGAAGATGATCCTCTGAAATCAAGTGCTCTCAAGTCACATCCAGCAGAGCCTCTGGGATGGCTCACAGAGGGTCTGCAGCTTTATCTTCTGTGAAGAACTTCTTTACTGTTTTACTTAGGTTTATTAGCTACTCATGCTTATCACGTGACTGTTTGTAATTTGCTTTATTTGAACGACTTAGATGAATTTGTACGTCTAGGTCATGTCAGAAAAGCCGTTAGGAACGAGTATAAATAGCAGCGTAGGCCTTTGTAATTCAGTGTGCTTCTATATCATATTGTAAACATTTTCAATCAATTGAAAATCATTTGAAGCTTCTCTCTCGTGTTCTTCATTCATCAACTGTGTTCTTCATTGATTATTACTCTGCTTGTTCTTATTGCTTCCGCTGCACTAATACTGTCAAATAGATCATCCAGAGTAAGTGATTAATATCCAAAACGGAGTCAATCGATCCTATCAAGGTTTCTTTTCCAAAAGATAAAGTGATAAGATGAAATCTTATCTTTTTCTTTCTTTTAAAATCCTTTCAAAGGCGATGGAGGATTATATTATTTTAATATGGTTTGGGGTGGTGCACGATATTATTCTTAAAACCCTTTCTTAACAGTGAAGATATTTCATCTTCATATAATAAAATATTCAACTTCTCATGTGTGATTCACATCTCATATATGCACACATAAATCATGTATGCATCATATCACCTTTTTCACATATATGCATACTATTCATGTATTAATTAATTTCCTTGCATGCCATTATGTATTTTCAAATAATAATCACGTATAGGTTACCTCAACCCAGGTTGTCTAAAACCTAGTTATAACAGGCAGCCTTCTCTGGCACCCACCACCATTTCCGTGACCTCCTCCGCTCATCTTGTCTGACCAAGGCGTCGTCTCCGATGGTCGACCATTAAACACTTACTTATGGGCATTCCTGACAGCTAGCATCATCTTTGTCCTTGTGACCCCCTCACTACCTATCTCTTTTCCCCCATCCCCACTAGAGTTGGTATCACAGTAGTCTCAAAATTTACTTGGTGTGTTTTGGGTATCACATTGTATGTATTTTGGGTATCACATGGTGTATCTTAGTGTATTTTGGGTATCACATGGTGTTCGTCGGATGCTAGAGGTAGGAGAGAGAGAGAAAGGAGAGAAAAATTTTAAAATATCTAAAATTCCCTTTTAATTATAATTTTAAGTCAAACTACCAAAAATATTAGTTTCCTAATTTATCCATTGGTTTGTGATTGAGATCAGATCTCACAGTTATCACAAAT